TATAAAGACAATAATAGTGCATTGACTTGACATATCAACGATATAAGGATTCGGCCCGAAACGGGGAAAAAGCTCGGCAGAGCCTCGCATTTCCCTGTTTCTAAGCCTCATCCTTATATCGTTGATATGTCAAGTCAATGCACTATTATTGTCTATGTAAGTCTTCGATCACGTGACTCGGCACGTGACTCGCAATGATTGACAAGAAAGATTCGACCGCCATTTTTGACAGCGAAAGAGAAAATAATAATTAACAAATGTGGATTTATAAAGAGTGTTATGTTCCGGTAAGTGTGAATATAAGATTTGACATGTTCATAAATGTTGGTTTATAAGCACTTTAAATAAAATAAGTGCAGTTATAGACTTGAATTTACCGACCAAACCGGAAAGTAACCTCGAGTTATTACCAGGGTATCCGGTCGTTCCGTCCCCAAACCGATCCGGCCCCAAGTCGATCCGGCCCAAAGTCGATCCGTCCCAAGTCGATCCGGCCCACGTCGATCCGGCCCAAAGTCGATCCGGCCCCATAATAAAATATGAATAAACTATATTGACTTTGGAGGATTTTAACAGTATAATTGGATTTTGCAAAAAGTATCGATGATAGATGACAACAGGTAAGTGAAGTATTGGTGTACCAGTCAAAGAATTATTTTAAATCGATACGAAACTGAGTGTGATTGTGTCTGTTTGTATAGCAGCTTCAACATATTAATATGAAGTTATATATTTTCCATGATAACTTTGAATGTCATGGCGATTTTTATTTTATTTAATTCACACACAGAATAGCTAAATAAATATTTACATTCCAATGGAACCTATAAAATTTAACTCATCATATAATGACTTGTTTAATCAAATCATTAGTCTATAATTGGTTTGTTTATTCAATAATTGTCTGATGATTGTGAACTAAGGTAATGCCACTCGTAATCACTTAATTCAATCAAATCCTGATTGATTAAAGTTACGTAATCAGCAAGGTCTTTATAGTTTGATCTTTTGTTTGGTGTTATGTGTTATAATAATTAATTGTAATTTTTTTTCAGGTAACATCAGAGGCTTCTATAACACATGTTGTTTTTTTGTAATATCGAATATAGTTAATATATTTTTTTAAAGTTGACAATATTTTGAATAGTTGTGTGTAGAAAAAAAAAAGTTATATGAGTATCCATTATTCTTTATTGCAAGATAATAACAAAATAATTACACTGAATGCACATTTTCACTCTCTAAAATATAATATCAGCACTACTATAATATAACAATAAATTCATACACACTAACAAACACACTATCTCTGACACTCACATAAATATATATATAACTTTTAAATCATTTACTGAAGTGCATGCTGCCGAGGTCTAACATGTTGGTCACATACCACACAAGGAAAAGCCATTGTGATATTAAAAGCAAACGCATTCTGTCTCCTCTTTTATAGAAAGGATTCGGCAAATCAAACAACATTTCTCAATTTGAGAAGTTTTAAGAACTTAAAACAAAAACAAAGTTTGTATGTATCAGCTTGGGGATCGTATGTATACAGTAACTATTTGTTATTACACAGGATGAAAGACTTGTTAAGATCACAGTCAATTGAAAGAAAATGCTAATTACTGCTGATTAATGTTGATGTCTGTTGATTGTACTAAATTCTGTTATATACGTTTTTATTATATTTATACCCAATAATCTTGAAAATTTGTAATGAAAACATAATCAACCTACTTGTTTTATACTCATCTAAAGAAAATATTTGTCAAAGGCCATTTTTTTTTACCGTACACCTTTTACATTATAATAAAATTCATAAACATTTATGAATTACAATTAAAATATATCTTTATTTTTATTCCTTATATAAATATATTTTTTTATTGGGGCCGGATCGACTTTAAATATGGGCCGGATCGACGTTGGGCCGGATCGACGTGGGACGGATCGACTTGGGCCGGATCGACGTGGGGCCGGATCGACATGAAAGCGCTACCAGTCCGTGGGACAGGGTCAATGAGCAACTCACCCATAACTTACATCCAGATGAACAATCTGTTTTCCGGATAATGTATGTGCAAGCCTTAGTAATTAACCGATGTAATGATGTAAAATTTGTAATTATATGAAATTCCAATTTTTCTGTATCAGTAAGTTCCCGCTGCAGAACTGAGAAACACACGAGACAACTTGCACACACACAACATGAGGTCTGATAGGTGAATTTGTATTGTTAGTGAAAGAAATTTAGATTTATATTTGGTTCCATTGATAATATATATGCAGTCTATACATGCTAGTATAATAATATTATGCAATGAAAATGTGTCACCATGTGAAATACCAGTACATCATGAGTTCCTAAATAGAGGTATTTTTTTTAAATAATTGACCCAAACATGATGTAAAAAGTACATGCACCTTTGGTCTGCATCCTTTATCAGTTTAACTATTTTGATCCATATTGACATGATTGGTCAATTACTGCTGAGTCTCAAGTCTCAGATTACTGTCTTAAAAATTAATGAATTGCCTATGCTATAAACTTGACAACGATTATTTCTTTTTATTTATAATATATTCTTTATTGTAGGAATACCCCCAGAAAGAAATCACGCATTAGAAGAAGGGAGAAGTACTACAGGAGAAAATGACTTTTTTTAGTATTTTTTTTAATTTCATTGAATTTGTCATGCTTGTCTTACATGGAGAAATAAATATTTAAGTCTTTGAATATACATTTTTATTATTATATACATTAAAACTAAGACAGGAATGCAGAAATTCACTAACACGCTCAGTTTGGATAACAGTTAAATGAAAGAAAAAAAACAAGTAACCACACATCTTTATATATTAAAGGAATAGCCACTTGAAGCAAACTTTAAGGAGATTTTTATATATTTTTGCTAATGATCATCAGACAACTCCTTTAGTCCAAATGAAGTTCAATGAAGTGGATGTAAGTTATTGGAATGCACCGTAATTACCTTCAACAATGAGAAAACCTATCCCGTGCAGTCAGCTTCAAAAGTCCCCGACATGGAAAATACATCACAATTCACTAGAGAAAACGAAGTGTCTACAATAACAAAGCAATTTACGAAAATTCAAATATGACGGACATGAACCAACAGCAACCACTGAATTACAGGCTCCTGACTTGAGACGGGCACATAAAGAATGTGACAATGTTAAATATTTTTAGGCGCTCATCACCACCACTAGCATGGGACATTGGTGTAACGACATAACATAAAAACAAACTTTAAACATAATTTGAAAATAGTTCATTTCGGTTTAATCAGGCTGACTGTACATGAAATATTTGCCATTGACAAGCAGTTGTGAATCGAAGTTGAATTTACAGAAAGGTGACATCAATATATGCTATCATATTTAACCTTCTTGTTTAGATCTGACATTGCTACGTATTTATACATTCCGCATTATTTTTGGCTTCTCAGAATTTTCACATGGTAAACTGTCAGCAGTTACCCAACAAAAAAATGTTATAGGGAACCTATTTACAAAGCATCATGCCGACAACAATTAACATGGTTTGTCACCAAACATTGAACAAGCACATTTATATTTGCTGTGGCTAAAAAAAACTAAAGCAAATCACAACTCTTCTCATCTGAGTTGCTCAATTATTAGGGTTACAAAAAGCATAGCGATATAACTAAAACATACGACACTTTAACAATAGACAATATTCAAAAACTTTACGGCTCTGTATTGAAGCACAAAATTTCTTGTCTGGGATTTTGAAAGAGGGCACATATTTCTGGTGTTGAAAAAATGTCATCGTAATTTACACTAATGTGGTTCTATTTATGTTAACATAGAGATAATTTGATTATTCAGTCACGTAATTTTGAAGCTTCTTCGTTCTGATTTACATGTACTTGCGGTTGATGCTTCTTTTGGAGCTTTTGTAGTTTTTGCAGTCTTTGCAGCAGGGACGTATAGTCATCCTCAGATTCAATATCTGATGCAGTATATTCACCACGTAAAAGATCAAGATTGAGATCACTATCATCCCAAGATAAAAAATCAATGTTACTGGACATTGTGAATTGAAAAATGAAAATGCCGGCGATATTTTGGGAACATATATATAATTTGTTAGGGCTTATGTTTGCTTTATGTATCCATTGCAGTTATAACCTCTTTGCTGATCTGTTACGTAAGGAAATTACTCATTTACCGTTAATGAAATTTTTTCTCTCTTCTGTGTTATAGTAGTCTCAGATCAGATACTTTGCATGTGTTCCTATGGACTTCAGTGCAAATCAAAGGAAAACAATTATCTGATATCATAACAGCCATCGTAGAGCCGTGGAATATAACGTCTGAATTATTCGGGTTATATAGATGGTCAAAATTTATATAAACTATAGCAAATGTAATATCGTATGTAAAAGAGCAAGAACACAATAGATAAATGAAAATATTACAGAATATTTACTTAAAAAGAATAAATCTAAATACATGAAATAGGGGGATCCATTCCCAAAGCGCCTGTGGTTTTATTCGTAAAGTTTATATTTTAGGTAAATTTTCTTTTGAACTGTGCAAATATTGCTGTCGACTTTCTTTTTACGAGAAATAAATTAGATTATTAATAAACATTTATTTTAATTTCTGACTATTCAAATCCTTGCTTTTATGTAAAATATAAACATAATCAATTTAATCCAATCGTAACACAAACAATCCTTTTTTATAGGAAATACGGTATAGGGTGCTAAATCCAAAAAAAAAAATGACTGGTAAACTCTGTCTCAAATTAATCTGATCCCAGAGTAACAAGCCAAGGGACAGCACTCGTCAGTCTAAAACAACAACAACAAAAAAAGTACAATCAACATTGATTTGACTGATCTAGACCAGAGAAAAAAATTCATGTTTCAGTCATATGTATTATTTTTAAAAGTATTTCAAAATTATATTGAACTTGAAGTAAATACATTCAGTGCGGATCTGTTTGTATCCAAGAAAACAAAGATGGCCGACAACTGGAACGATGAAGAATTGGGAATACAAAATGGGCAGTTTTCGCCTATTGTTGAAGGCGGTTTTGTGCATGTCGATGGAGAAACACATATTTTGAATTACGATACAAATGTTCTATCACTTGATCAAGACAGACAGGCTACAGAAGTGGCAACTGCTGCTGATGAAGATCAGCCTCAAAGCTCATACTATGATTCAGAAGAAGAAGAGGATGTCGAGGTACACATTGATGATAATTAACAGGAGTCTAGTGTCCCAACCTATTATGAGACGAAGTCTGCATTTGTAGTTATTAAAAAATACCCTATATTTTTCATCATGGGAGGCAGGTATACAGTACAAATGTACCTGTGAAAGAGGATGAAGTCCATATTAATAACTATTTACATGTAAATACTGATTTTTGCTATTAAAATGACAGTAAAATTATTTTTAAATCTTATTACTAAGCACATCAATTATTTTTACACTTTTCCAATTATGTTGACATTTAATACAAAAAATCACTTAATATCATTTTAAAACAATCAGATACCCTACATCATTGACATATTAAGTGACTGAGGGCTGAACAATAAATAACTCTTTACCAAAAAATGATAAATTAGAGTTTAAAAATTTCTGTTGAAAACGTAACTTAAATTAGATGCGATAATAGTCCTGTTGTTATGAATTTTATTAATGGAATCATTTTGATTGTGAACAAAGAAACTTTTATTATGAGGTATACCTTAAGACAATACACATACCTTACTAAGCCAGCTTTTTTTCCCCCCAAAAAATATGTTTATAGTTACCCAGCCAACCCTTTTTTGAGGTGCCAACCCTTTCTCATTTTATCCATTAATAAAATAGAAAGTGAATTCGAAGCTAAAAGCTGGAATAATCTACTTTGGGTTTAAAACAAAATTGCAAGTACATATGTAGGCCCTTGGTCATCGTGTGCACGATATTGAAGCCTTCATACGATTTAGATCCAATCTAGTTTATATCAGTAAAAAGTTAATATATTCACATATTAGTTTAAACAACATTTACAAACAGCACACAGCTACATGTAACATCTTGCCAAAAAAAAAATGGAACTACCTACCTATCCACCCTATTTTTTTGAAGGATGTAATCTTAAACAGCCATTTTTTTTTTTTTGCCTTATTTACCTTTGTTTATTGATGAAAATTTTGTCTGATTAATCAGATGAGGTATACCAGAGAACTCAATTTTTTTGCTATAAAATCGTATACATGTATGTTGGATAAGCACTAGACCCATACAGTACACAAGAAGAATAAATTCAAATACTGGTACTCATATTATTGTTATTTTTGGTAATCAAATTTACAAATTTCTGGGAAAATCGTCTTAATTACAACAGGGCAATTACCATCACCAAAATAGAAACAGGGTAATGCACAAGTGCAACTGTTGTGTTAGCATGGTTATAAAGTTAATGATTTTAGATTTATAAGTATATTTATTTATATGTTCCTTTTTCTTTTTATTGATTTTCTTACTGCTATTGAGGAGTTCCTCTTCAGATCAAAACTTATTAAGGCCTTCTTTAATGTAAATGTCAGCTTCAAATAATCTATTCATGGTTTGATTTGCCAGCTGCCATGGTTAAAAAGTGTATTCAAATTTGTTTTCGTTCATCTTGCTATGCTAGTTGCTGCCATACAAACAAAGAGTAGGATGCTTTTCCATGAAATGTTGTTTCTAGTTGTTTTTTTTTATTATTTTATGAATTGCCTCCTGTATTTGTTTTGCCAACTACATGTACATGTAACTATAACTGCAAGAAAATAAACTCTTGTATGATAAATCACAAGTCCCTCCAAGTAACTGCATTAATGCCCCTGGGGGATAACAGACATCAGACTATCACTTTTACCTGTGTGCACACTTGGATGGAGAATAAATTGATCTTTTTCAAACCATTTAATTCATTAATTGACATTAGTTGGATGCCATATACTTTTCTAGTTTCACATATCAGCTGGGTTACAAATTTGAGTTGAGGAATCAAGAAACAAATTACTTTTGAAGGTTCTTTTTGTCAAAAATTTTAAATAAAAATAGAATTGGTCAGTTAAATGTATTTTACTCTAGTCAAATATCTTATTGCAATGAATTATACATGAACATGACTTTTAAAAAACGTTTTTAATTTGCTAACCTATTCCATGTATCCTGACCTCTCCTGTAACTGTTACCAAGCTCCTAAATCAAATGAATGCAACAACTGTTTTTGCACTTTTTTTTTACAGTCTATAAATAACTCAATACACATCCATATATACATGTGCATGTGCCACCATTAATTCTTTTATCAATAATAATATAATATGATTCCAGGATAAAGCGATTTACTTCAGATTTTCTTTATCAGTGTCATTTTGCATTTTTTAAAATACTTTTTTTTTTGCACAGCTATCTCCTGATGGAATCTTAGATGAGGAGACTATTGGAAGAGGGATGTCTAATCTTGGAAGGTCAGCTGATGGATCACAGCAAGTTTATCTTCACACAGCCATTCCGGTAATAAACTTATTACATGTATGTCAGATTTTGATTTCAAAGAACGGTGCAACATTTTAGGATTCTAGTAAAATTATATTAAATTTGAAAGTTAATCTTCATTTGTCATTCATAATTTTGTCTATGATATTTAAAAAAAAAATGAATATAATTGTCTGGTGCTAATAATATGATTAGAAAAAAAAATGATATGACTTCCAGGGTTCAAGCATATTGTTTTTCTTAAATTGTTCAACATTTCACAGCGGTATAACATGTTACTTAAATTATTCTTCCCTTAGTTTATTTATTTTGTATTTACATTGTATTATAGATCAAATTTATTTGTTCAGTGTATGTTCACTTGTGTTAATATGTCTTTTGATTGAGTTAAGCCATTTCGATTGATATTTTATAGTGTGTCTTTCTATGTTGTGATGTTACACTATTGTTTCAGATAAGGGTGAAGGTTTGGTACCATTAAAACATTTAAACCCGCTGCAATTGTTTGCACCTGTCCTAAGTCAGGAATCTGATGTTCAGTAGTTGTCGTTTGTTTATGTGGTTCATAAGTGTTTCTCGTTTCTCGTTTTTTATATAGATTAGACCGTTGGTTTTCCTGTTTGAATGGTTTTACACTAGTAATTTTTGGGGCCCTTTATAACTTGCTGTTCGGTGTGAGCCAAGGCTCTGTGTTGAAGACCGTACTTTGACCTATAATGGTTTACTTTTATAAATTTTGACTTGGATGGAGAGTTGTCTCATTGGCACTCATACCACATCTTCTTATATCTATTTACAGTCACTTTGAAAGCTCAACATGAAATGTAAGAACCACAAATTCAGTTTGTTTTTCACAAAAAGTATTGTTTCCAAAATAATAGAAAATAAAACAATTATTATAAATTATATATTTCTTTCATCATGTTCATAGTAAGAGTGAATATTATCTCTAAGGACAAAGTACTTTAATAATCTTTAATATCCTTTGAATTGTGTAGGCCACAGTAGGGTCATAAATTATTTCAGATAAATTATATATTTATTTTACTTTTTATAGGGATTTTCTCTGAAAGACATTTCAATTTTAGCCAATTACATTCACCTGCAGAAAATAGAGATGCCTTACAATGAAATCACAGGTAAAGTATAATTAAGATCATTTGTTAAAATATGAATATTATCATATATAAGAACATTAATAGAGTCTCCAACACTCCATCCATCCTTCAAAGGTTTTTTTTTTTTTATTATGAAAAAAAATGAAAATTACGTTGGACCCCTTTTTGCAATGAGGAACCCCATACAAACCCTACAACACTCGCATACCCTTCCTTTAAAATTTTCTGGATGATTTTTTTAAACATGATCTTGTCACAACCAAGAAAAAGAAAGACCGATCATTAAGCATATTTTCCCTCTAGACAGCAAATTCAGGGAAAAGCAGAGAGCAATAGATTGTGAAAAATTGACGGACTAGAAAGAACTGATCAAAATAGAAAGTTACAGAATCTTGAGTATTTGATTTAAATGTGCAAATTCACTTACAATTTTACCAAAATAAAATGAAAATTGGATAACTTATAATAACCATGAAATAGACATTTACCGGTTACGCAGTATATTAATATGTTTTAATTGTAATGTCTCAAAATTTTGTACCAAAGTTACAGCAATTTCCTACTTAGAGAGCTATACATTAAATTACACTGCATTCATTTGGGTAATGACTAGTGAGCTATGTTGTTCAGTCTGCCAGCCAGGATTTTGAAAGGGCAGGTTAGGGTAGCAATACACAGTTAGGAAAAAAACTTAAAATTGACACTCAAAATTTTTAGACACCCTCTTTCCCTTCCTTTCTGACAAATAAGGCTTACTATTTGTGTTATGCATGTGTATATTTATGGAAAGAGAATCTTCCATAGATTTGATTTCCAATAGTTAAAATGGTGAAATATAATCTCTTTTTGGTGTAACCATGACAACAATCAGCATTTATTTGATACAAAATATTGCAAAAAGGGGGTGAAAATTTCACAAAAGTCTTCAAAAGTTGGTCAAAAGGAAAATTTCAATCAAATAGAGTGCTACCTTTCCTGAAACCATAGACATTTATCTATCACGAGGTCCAAAAAAAATCATATGCATTTCTGCTCGTTTTTCCATAAAATTGAATTGAAAAGATCGAGCGTCAAATCTTTGTTGAAAAACGTTACAATAATTTCTGGACCTATGGGCGGTATGGATAGGAAAATACGAACTGTCAAACAGAAAAATGGCCTATAAAACATGCTAAAAACAATCTAAATGTTCATATAAACACACTTAGAAGGCTATATTATTCTTCAACTATCTAAAAATCAATTTTATTGTACAAAAACTTTCATATTTAAAATATTCACCATGGCCATAATGCGAAACTAAACTTCTAACTGTGTATTGCTACCTAGGGGTGTGTTGGATTTTTTTCAGTGAACAACAATTTTTATGCAACAGACTGCTTATGTAATTTGTGATTAATTATTATTGAATTTTTTTTTTCTTTATCATTGACAAAAACATATATTAAAAAAAAATAAGTTATAATGATAGCAAATAAAATTTGGATGAAGATTTCAGTAGTTTTGTTTATTTTGCAGATTTGTCTCCCTTGAATGATTTGAAGTATTTGTTAATACTAGATGCATCACACAACAAAATTTCCAAACTTCTGGATTTTTCACCACCGAAGAATTTACAACAAGTGGACTTGTCCTACAATGAGATAGAGGAAATGACAGATTTGACACCACACCACTATCTAATGAGTCTTGTTCTAGATCGTATCCTTAACATTTTTTATCTTCCAATTTGATGGCAATTTTCAAGTAAGGGTGAAACTGGGAGACAATGTTGAATTTTCTTTCAACAGTTTTATGTGTGGAAATAACAGTCAGGCCATAATCTTGCCGGCGAAATGACGATTTAAGTCGCCAAGGAATTTTGAAAATCGCTAAAACTCGCCGGCTGATTGACTTCATGGCGAAGTCAAATCGCTATCAAAATCGGTAAAAGGGAGACAACTTGAATTTTACAAGTTTCACAGGTAACAAAAATGGCAGCGACAAGGAAAATCGAAATTTTTGAAGTGACACAGGACTAATACTTTCGATGTTTAAATGAAATAAATACAACGGCGACTTTGAGCATCCATAGATTTAACATTCAAACCTATTGGAACGAGAAACAGAGCGTCTGTTTGAGTTATCATTTTACGATGATTTTCATCCGAGGATGTTGCGTAATCATTCAGCTGTTTTTGTTTTCTTTTTATTTATTACAAGACGATCAATTTTACTATTCGGTAGGTCAAGGGTGGGAATGAACGGAAGATTTTTTACATTCTTTGATCAAAAATTGAAATATAAAAGGTAGAAAGACAGCCAATGGATAAGATGACTGCAAACGTACAACAAATGGCCAGCTTGTGACCAATTTGTTAATTAGGGCTCATAAATTGGGGAGATATCTTTTATAACAAAATGATAAAAATTAGCTCTTTATCGACTTATTAAAATGTGATTGCTAAATATTTTCATTTATATATAGGCTTGCAATCTTTCACGAGATTCTCAACTTAAAGCTGACATGATATCCTGGACAGTCAATATTTTTTAAAAATTATGACATGAGATGATAAACATTAAATTGCCCAGTCATTAAAAAGTCATCACATAAACTGGGAGCCATATTTTTCTGGACTTATCGAAGCAGATGCACATGGGATTAATACATATAATATTACTAGGCAAGCAACAAACTTAATTTCAAGTTGACAGCACAAAAGGTTGAATGAATAAATAACAACTACATTGTCTAAACCTTTTTATTAAGAATTTTCAATTCATACATTTTATACAATATCATATAAAACACTGCAAGTATATTTATTATTGCATAAATAAAACAATTTTCCCTTAATGATGTACACGAAAACACTATGCAAACGAAACGGTAATGGAATTTCGCTTCTCCATGAAATTGATCACTTCTCCCAACTCTCTCATGGAAGGAGAAGTCACTTCTCCCTCTCAAAAATCCTAGATTAGGCCCTGAACAGTCACATTCTCTGACTTTGTTAATTGTTTCAAAATAACAAAAACTGGCCCATTAAGCTTTTTTTTTGCACAGATAAGACCGTTCTGCATGAGGAAACTCAGATGCTTCAAAACCTTATTTATTTATTTATTTGTTAACTGTTTCATTTTACTGCATTAATCTGAATATCATTTAGCCTATTCTATGACCTATATATTTTATAAGATGTTATAAGTTTTAACCTCATTCATATTTTTCTTCTACAAAGTAAACAAAAAAGGCTCATTATAAAATTTATTTTTAACCATTTAATTACAGCAAAGATTTAGCATAGTTGTGTGCAGCTTTAGTGCAAGGAACAGAGACAATTAATTATTTTGTATTTATAATATTCTTGATGAAATAAAGTTTCCTTAACTGAGAATCAGATAATAAATTGAAGGAAATTAAAGGTTTGGAGAATTGTAAGAGGATAACTAAACTCAGTTTAGCTCACAACAAGATAGATAAAATACAAGGATTGGATAACTTACCTATTCAGCAGTTAGATCTTGTAAGTTTATATATTTTGAAATAACTTTAATCTTTTCTGTTTGTTTATTTACAGGAGCTGGTTTGTAAGACAAACTAGTTTAGATAAATCGCTCACAATAGAGATACTAGTTTGTTATGTATTATGATCAATTTAGAAGTATAGAAGTTTGGTTTACTGGTGTTGAACTACCTCAAATTTGCCTGCTATCCAATTTTTTGTAGCAAAGTGGAGTTTGCTCTTGTTCATATAAAAAAATAGACGGTCTGTATGCTGCATTTCATATTAAACTACAGCAGCATTAACAAGCCTTTTTTCATGTTTTTTTTCCTTATTTTGTAAACATATCTTTCATTAAGCCACATCATGGGTGAATGTGATGAAGAGATTTGGTCATACAGGTATCTCCCATCCAGCTGTATGGTTGCCTGTTTTTCTGTGAAGGATGTATACGAATGCAGCATTATGCTGTTGGAATCAGGACGTTAAATCTGATACACTATGTTTAGGGAGGGCCATGCTCTCTGCACTTTAAAGAAACCTTGTAACAAATCTGTAGGAAGCCTGTTGCAAGGCAAAATTTCCTAATATAAGCAAGATTCCCAATTATTTCAGTGGCAGTCAATTAAAGCCACTTTGTTATACCTACTGATGAATTGTGTAATTTGTTCTCATCCTGACATGAAAACTCAAGGTTAACTATTAAACCAAAACTCATGTATAAACTGCCTAATCATTTACATTTCACATTAAAAAACTTGAAAGTTTTACTTTTGATGTCAGATATGTGTTACCAAAGTATGTTTGTTTTACAAAGCTATTAACATTATTGCAGTTGGAGAGGAGGTACAACTTCAAATAATATGGGGGGAAAAACATTCAAAATAATGATACCTTTTTTTATAATTTTTTCCTTAATTATCATTTTGATTTTTGTAGAGTCATAATCATCTGAAGAAAATAGAAAACATAGAGACATTAGACAGACTCAGAGTAAGTAATAACATGGTATTATTGTCAAGTGATTAAATTTGTTGTTTGTTTTGTAGTTTTCTAAGCAGTTTGATGATCAAACTTTTTACATGTTTAAATGTTATCCATATAAGTGAAGATAGAAAAAGTTGATATGTTTTCTTTTCAAGAATTGCACTGATCTTTTTGGAAAGGTAGCACAGTACCTTCTAACTCAGTCAGATTTCTTTCTTTACTCAGTCAGATAAGTCTAAATAATTGTCAGCCCTGGTATGATTCCTATTTGTTCAATACATTTTACACTTTGATTATAATATGTTGATTTCTAAAATAATTTTGAGTATACAGGTATTTTGAAGTCTACTCAAAGAAATATCAGCATCAACTAACTCTGTGTCAAAGTTCACAGAAAATTTGGAAAGCAAAGAAAACAGATGTAGTCTAACATAATGTGTCAAATATAAAATAGTAGTTTTTATTTTGCATCCAAACAAATCCCTTATTATACCCCTGCTTTAAAAAAGTAGGGGTTTACTGTTTTACCTCTGTCTGTCTGTCCTTCCATCCGTCAGTCCATCCGTCAGTCCGTCCATCCGTTCCATGAATATTTTTCGTCGCATCTTTCTCAGGAACTACATCATAATGATTTCTGAAATTTGGTTTCAGGGTTTATATAAGTTAGCTATACCGTGTGATGTGTTTTCAGATTCATCACTCAACAACTTCCTGTTTACCGAACACTTACATATTTTTACACTATTAAAATTATCCACTTGCAGCGGGGGTATCATCAGTGAGCAGTAGCTTGCAGTTTCACTTGTTAATTCTATATTAATCATCAAACAAATCCCTAATTAATTCTATGTTAATTTACTGACTGTGCGAGACCCTCACGGGTAGTCAAGGTTGTTAAAAAAAACCTAATAGTGTTAATCATATTTGTACCTGTAACAATCAGATTGACATGTTTATCAGTAGTGTTTTTTAACACCTTTGATGAATGGTCAAGTGGAAAATTGTTCTGTGAAACACATTTATTTGAGGTGATAAGGAAAATTGAATATCCAAAGTTTGAATTTTAATATAAAGAAACATTAAGATAATGATGAATGGATACAAGTAATGCCAAAAAATTTAAAACTGGACCACCAGATAGAGGCTGTGATGAACTTTTAAAATACCTTCATCTCCCACAACCTGTTTTGGTCCTCAAACAGTGTCTCCACAACTCATATTTGACTTATTATTAATTATATTTATTTATTCAATATAATAATGCAGATGGATTAGAATTAAAAAAATCAACAACAATATAACAGGTTGACAATGCAAGGATACAATATTGAAATGAGAAAACCTGATTTACTAGTAACTTGTGACCATTTGATAACATTAAGTTATGTCAGTTTCTTTGATGTCAGATGAGAAAATAAAACCGGTTAAAGTACTGATGTATTTTTGTGGGGTTTTTTTTTTTTACAGACAATTAATTTATGTGGCAACAACATAAGAAGTTTGAAGGGTTTAGAAGACCATGATTTGATGGAGTGTATTGATGTAGAAGATAATGAGGTTAGCTATAATTAGGCCACACACATTTTATTTTTTTGTTTTTATTTTGGTATAAAGGGTAACCATTTTAAAGGAACTTAGCATCTCCATACATGTTAAAAAAGCCTTGAGGTTATCCCTGTTCTTCTTTTAATGCTATGAACTTTTATATTGAGCTAGTTCCTTAAATTCAGATTTTTTATGAAAAATTCAAAATACCAATGCCTGCATAATTTTTTAGCAATGATTTCTTTCAAAATAATTTTCAGGAAAAGGCTTACAGAATTACTTGTCCACAGGCACAAAAATATGAAAGTTGAAAGAACTACATTTTTTTTACCTATAAATATAAAATAAAAATGTTGCATGAAGGGGAGATAATTTGTGCAAAACTTACAATTAAATCGCCACTGTTATGTCAGAATTTGCTTTTATCATTTATTATAGGTAATAGATATCACAGAAATCAAGTTTGTTAAAGGATTACGGATGCTGAGGCAGCTAAATTTGTTACGGAATCCCATTCAAGAACTCCCTGATTATAGACTCTGCATTTTATTTAGACTTCAAAATTTAACACAACTTGACAGACACAAAGTGGAGGTTGAAGAAAAGGTAAGTAGAGGGATATTCATCATTTTAATTTTAGAAATTTTAGATGATATCTCTTTCATGACCAAAGTGTATTTAAGTTAAGTATATATACATTCTCCATGATAAAACATGCCTGTAAATACAAGAATTTATTAACTCCAAGAACTGTTTTTCTTAAATTGTTCTAGTTATGTTTTTACATATGTCTTGCCAGTGTAACCTATTCACAAACTTAAACAAACGTTGCAGCCACAAACACCTCAAACACCTCAAACAGCATGTCTTAGTCGAGTGTTGTAGGCAGGACAACATTTTGTTTGTTTGAAAGTTAAACTTAAAGATATTTTAACTCTGCTGTTAAAGAAACAAGTATTTTTTTTTTCATTCTAATATATTTACACAAAGATTTGCAATCACTTTATTGATAGATTGATATATGTAGTAATCAACATAGTCACCTTATTTTTTTTATTCTTGCAGTGAAAATTGTGCATGAAATGTAGATAAGGGAGGTAATACATGTACGTTACCCTACATTAAATTAAGTTAGATTGATTGATAGTTGTTTACTTAATGCATGGTGGCAAATATTTAACTTACAGGTTTGTGGATAATTTTTATAGGATGAGAATAAATTTAAAGTACATTTTATTGAGTATACAATTTTGCTTTACTTGTTCAAGGTTATGTGGGATTTATACATGCCTTCAAATTTTTGAAGGCTGAAATTTGATTGGCTGGTGTAATAATTACAAGAACTGAAAGTGAAACGGAGCATGTTAGATCCTTGTAAGCAAAGCTTGGACACATAATCTGTATTTTAATCAGATTGTATTTTTATCAACTTACATTTTTAGGTTGCAGCAGCAAATATGTTCAATCCACCATTAGAAGTTATAGCATCCAGAGATCATATAATGCATGTTGTTTATCAGTTCCTCCAACCAAGTAGAGTCTGGGACAGGTACATGAATATAGATACTACAATACAATGCTGTTGATTGTTATATTTATTTGCTTGAGGTAGTTCAATTTTCAAAGTTTAAAATGTGAGATTTGTAATTACTGAAAATTGAATTATCAAGAGTGGATGAATATTTTACAAAACAAGTTTTATAATTGGTTGAATCGGTTTCTCTAATGATTTAATGGAAAATGCCTATTTCAATGTTCTGAATGGATATGGCGAGAAATTACACTAGACAAATTTAATCAATTTGTGGTTCATCATAATTTAACAAACTGCACACAGAAAGAGAAATCCATGACAAATGAAAATATTTCATTACAGTCTAAGACAAGTAAAATATTTTTTTTGCTTGCCGACGACAGTTGAATAGTTGTAGTGGAGTTAGTGACAGGTAATTAATGTGTCTACTTTAGGCAACTATTTTGTTTTGTAGAATGTTGTCAAGCTAAATAATTTTAGTGACCATTGCTCAGATAGGCGAATTTCAATTTTTCTATTAAATAAAATGAGAACTGATTATGTCTAAAATTTATAATTATTTATTTTAGTTTCAAATTTGAATGCTTTATTTCAGTACATTACCAAGTGTAGAGACACCTTACCCAATGTTAGTTCTAGTTGGACCCCAGGGATCAGGGAAGAAAGATTTAGCAATGAAACTGGTAGATGAATTTGGGGACTATTTTGGATATGGGTAAGTTGTGACTACTTTATTGTACCAAAATGTTAAATATCACAGGAGAGCACAAAGTGAATATTATAAAGGTTAGAATAGTAAGTGACTACACTGAACCTTTATTAGTTTTATTTACTTGACAAAAATTTTAAAGAATTTAAATCAAAATGAAACATATTACATTTTCAGTGTTTGATGCAAATTTCTTGATTAACTTTCATTAGGATAGCTTAGAGACAAAAGCAGCTATATAAATAATAATTGATTTATAAACCACTAGAAAAGATCATACTACAGAACATGTAACTATTAAATTTTTTGTCAAATAAGAAATAAAAGTATCAAATTAATGATATATTGATCATATTTTGATTTTTAATGTAGTGATTAATTTATGGTAAAACGAATTTAACGCATATTAATGACAGAATATTTTGGTTCTGAAACATGTAATTTGGTATTATTTTTAGGATTTCCCATACAACTAGAAGACCACACCAGGAAGAAAAAATGGGACAGGACTATCATTATGTTACCCTTGAAAAGTTTGAATATGATATCAAAATGGTAAGAAAACACAGTCTTTGAGCTTATAATTTCTTAACATTGAAACTTGTTAATAATTAGAGGAGATGAAGTTTGGGGAACTCTGACAAACTTTAATTGAAAAAATTAAGTTTTTAGAATTATTTGTTCATCTTTTTAAGGGAGCTACAATTCTTGTTATAACATCAGAATTTCAGGCATGGTCTCCAATTTTAATCTAGCTGTATGTACTATTTCATTACAGGGTCAGTTTATTCAGACTTATCAGTATAATAGTAACTGGTATGGCTTACAAATGGAGTCTGTTGAATGTGTTGCAAGAGAAGGTCTAGCTTGTGTTGTACACATGGAACTCGAGGTAATCACTTCTAATAGTACGCAAAAAGAAACTGTTTCTTGTAGATTTATTGTTTTTACTGACAAAGTGAGGCACTAAAAATTTAGAGGAAAAAAACATTTTTTGGCAGTTTTCAAGATACATAAAAAAACAACATAAGTATTTTGTGTAATATTTATATCCAGGAATGGAAATGTTAGGAAATTTGTTTTTATGTTGTGAATGTGTTTTATGTTTTCTAGAAAATAAAGTATAAGACCATTAATTTTATACACATTGTTTCTATAATGATAATAACCTACAGTTAGATCTGTGATTTCTACAACACAGCTAGGTAAATACTATAATTATTGACCATCAGATTGTACACTGGTTTATTGGTGTAAACAAGTCATTGATATACTTTTATGATGAAAATACCAATTATTTGTTCAAAACATGTAAAATATTCAAAAATTCACCTTAAAACAACAAAAAGTTTTCGCCAGTTAATATATTTATCTACGATGGTTATTTATGAGGAAAACATTTTTTAACTGTTATCCCTGCCACAAATGTCATTTTTATTTTGTATTTATTTCTATGCAGGGTGTGCTTACACTTAAAAATACCTATTTTGAACCAAGATATGTGTTGATTATGCCATTGAGTAAGGATTCTCATGAGAAACGTTTAAGAGACAGAGGGATCTACACAGACGCACAGATGGATTACACTCTAAAGAGATCAGACATGTATCTGGAATACAACCAAGAACATCCTGGATTCTTTGATATGATGATCAACAGTGGTTAGTTTATGTTTTTGATACCAAGTACAATGAATATACTATTTTTACAGAGTTCTACTGTTTTTTTCTAATGAAAGTTTCAGAATGCTTTTTTGTTCTTGATGTCATTGTTTGTGTCGAATATTTCTGTAGTTTATGGTTAGGTGAACTTACTTAGCCAAAACCTTCTCAGTCATGGTCTATTAAATTTTAACATGTTTAATTTTGTGGTGTGATCAGTTTTACAGAATTGATTTTGATATGTTATAGCATTATTAATTTGTATGTAGTTGCATTGATACATAACATATCATACAAATTTGAATTTTTAACCTTGCTTCCCCAGTCTGTTGACTTCTTTACATGTTTATATATGTGATGAGGTCAGTTTCACAAGAACCACTTATGTTATGTTAAAAGTCAGTAATATTTGGTATTTACAGTGTTCCAGCTAGGATTTCAAAAGGGCAGGGAGCCAATCACGAAAAGGGCACTTTAGCACGATGATTGATATTTCAAAAAGGGCATGTCAAACATTGTCTTATGTTAACTGCAGGGGTTTCAGCTAGGAGTTTTGAGGGGGTTTTAGTCACTTTTACGCTAGATGAAAATCCACCTTATTTTGGGTAACAGTGTTAAAGGGACCATGCAAAGACGTATATTACTAGCTCAGTCTTCCCTAGAACATTTTTGATGCATGGTAGGTCTAAGGTTAAGTTGCAATGCAGAGCGCAGCGGCATTTTGTATTATTATTTTTATTTCATTAGTGAAATGAATTGTGCATGTCAATTGAAATACTACACTAGATCTGCAATACAGTCAGGAACAATACCTTACATTTTCTCCAGGGGCCAACCTGGATCCCAAAACTTTTTTCCAAGGGCCCAGTAGAAATTTTAAGGCCCTACCAGGGTATTTTTACTACAGGTACATACTTAATAATAGTCTTGAATGTTCTTATAAAGGCAATAATATATGTTTGAAATGCCTAATACATGTAGCCCAGTGTTTCTGATTATGATAGAAATAATAAATGAATTATAATAAACCACATTGAGTTTTTCAGAATTAAAATCCATTTAATCATGTCTTTTCAGACTCTGAAACTTATATTTGTAATATTATATATAAAAAATATATAAAAAATTCCCCCCCCCCCCCCCCCTTTTCCATTTTACACATGCCTAGATGTAGAGTATTAAAGTATTATCAGTTTCACCCCAAGAACGTATTCATTTTTAATGAAATAATCTTAGCAGTTAATCAAAATGAAAATCTTACTGTCTATAAATAACTATGAAATGTAACTGTTTCTTGTTAAAGGGGTTTTCCGAATTTTTCCGCCAAAAAAGCATATGGCTTTCAACAAATGTAAACAAAGCAGTCAATTTGTGATCATGGATTACAGCTTTAATTAATTTAATTTGGAAATAGATATTTAATGAAAGGTACAGTCAAGCATTGTTTTTACTTTCTTCTGGATTAAAACTAATTTAAAAGATCAATTTAAAAAAAAAATCTTTGACATATAAACAACAGACGATCTACGGATACAAAGTGTCATCTTTTGAGAAATATTGAAATTGAAATGCTGACTGACCAAACTTAATGAGAAAAATTATTACAATGGTCAATTATGAAGTTTAATTAACGGATTAATGACCCATCCGATGTCGATAAGCGGATTATCTGTAATCACAACTTGTTACACCTGCTGTAAATGTTAATTAGCTGAGGGTCATAAACTTGTCATAAATATGAAGACAGGTAGAATAATTGTATTTTCATCAAAATATTAAGGCAATAAAGGCATGGACTTACGAAAAAGGCCTAGCTGGAACACTGATTTAGTAGCATTAGAATAAGTACATATCATATGGAGATTGCTTTTCAAATTAAAGACTTTTTATATGATGCCTGTTTAAAGAGTTTTGACAAATGATATTAAACCTACACTTCATTTATTATGGTACAAATGTATATTGTATAATTACTTCTTTTCTATTTTGCTACAGCAACTGCAGTTAATAATTGCAAAATCTGTAATTGTATGAAAGTCTAATTAAACTACAACAATAACATTTTGAAACTGATTTGTTTGATTGACATTTGTGTAATTTTTTAAAGATAGTTATTGGAATCAAAATTTAAAATTATTCAAATAACATGCATAAATTATAAAATTCAGAAGTGCTGTGATAATATGCTTTTCACATTTGTGTTAGTCAATTTCTTTTGACTGATCATAATGCAAGCTTGTTAGAATATGATACTACCTGAATTAAATCTCTATGATTATAGATGATATCCAGGAGGCCTATAGGAGGCTAAGAAGGTTAGTAACTGACTACCTAGGTATCAGTTTAACATCAGAACAAAGTGAATCTGGAGATGAAGAGGAAACAGTGGTAGAAGGACAACAAACACAGATGGGAACCAGAACATGGTCCAAGCCTAGTCTACCAGACAGTTTGTCTCAGCCATATACGAGGGGCAAAACACAATCTCCTGTGCAGTCTGGCAGAGGAATATTGGTAATATTATTTCTCTAATTTTCAAGTTATTAATATATATATCACTATTAGGCTAAATAAAGAGTTCCCTATAAGCCTAAATAAAGATTTCACTGTAAGGCTAAATAAAAAGTTCAATTATAGGCTATAACTTTTGAGTTCACTACTAGGCTAAATAAAGAGTAAAGATCGTAAAGAAACAGATTCTACAACAATGTATAATAAACAAAATCTCCATTTTTTAAAAATATTTTTTTTACTTGTCTTTCATCGCAGAATGCCAAACATATGGATACTAATCCAGCAGCTGCGGGGATTTAGACTATTTGTATAAAGCTTTATATTCCTAAAGGCAGGAGATCTGGTTATGTCATACCTTATATATAGATGTCTTATGTTCTGAGATTTCCATTGTCCATGACCCTATTTTCATGGTTCAACAACTGTTTTTTTTTTTATCAAAAACTGTAGAGTTTATTGAGGTTGTTTGTAGGGCAGGTTTTGTTTCATCCTTCATTTCTTCTATTTTTACTCAACAAGGAACTTTTTGAATTTCTGTATCAGAGATAGTATTTATATAAAATTATACTTTATACTGTGAAAACATAAAATTCACCAATAATAACTACTATAGAACCTTAAATCACAATATATTACAGTTAATTCCTCTTATAATAATCAATTTACCCTGACATCTAAAAACATAAACAACCATATATGTACACATGTTTTTTATTATTAATTTATGCCAATAAATAAGTTATTGTTATTGCAGGAAGAGATGTCCATCAAAAGAAGACATAGTGCTGCCAGGGATGCTGTGTCTGGATATATACCTCCATTGTTTGAGCAGATAACTACCCAGTAAGTATTAAAAAAATGGATGTGAGGGTGAACACCGATGAGTTAGCAACAAAAAGACACACGTGTGATCAGAAATGATGTTAATTTTAACCAAGATCAAATGATTATCAAAGGTGTTAATTGGGCCATACAACTTAAAGAAAATGGTTACATAAAAAATGCTACAAATGTACTACGAATTGTAGAATTAATTCTCATGAAATAAAAAAGAAAGCCCAATATGAAATTATTAATTATATTTTTGTATGAGAATTTTGAGGTGATAATTAACATCAATACTTCATCATCGCATACCATCACCGAAAGTCTGACTTTCATCGATCAAAAAGAATTTTCCATGAGAATAAGAAGTCGTACAGTTTAGGTTTTTTTAAAGATTAAAAGGGTAAAGTCCTGTCCGAAGTTGTATATATATAGTTTTCAGTGTGTTTGCTGATATTTGATGTATCCATCTAGTAAAACCTACATGGGGATCTTTTCATGTCTTGATTTGTACAACATATGTTATATTTCGTTGGACACTTAAATTTATGGACACGGCCATCCACGAAAATTGGTACCCTACAAATAAAAGTACTTTCACAGTATATGTTAAAATGTTCAGAAAAAAATGTCAGGAAAAACATAATCATTTGCCTATAAACAAAGAAACTTTGATGATTATCCAACCAAAAATGACCTAAAACTGTTTTATTCCAATAAATATGATTTTATGTAGGTTTGATATGTAACTTAATGTCCTACATCACTTCATCTCTTCTTAGTTATATATGCTAGCATCTAAAATATGTAATCCTATATTACAGGTACCCTAAGACAGCTCCACAGACTGTAGAGGGACAAGTGGGTCTAAATGTCTCAGGAGATCTTCGATCATTCTCTGCTCCAGTAGAGAAACCACTTCAGACAGGGGAGGAGGAAGATAGTTCCAGTGATGATGAATCTGATTCTACTTTATCTGTTGCATCAGCTGGGGACATGAAGTCAAATTCTCCAGATGGATCATTGCATGACGGAAAAGGATTTAATTTACCAACAGACTCTGTGAATCCAATTAATTTGATGGATGGAAAGGGAACTAAAAAAGATCTCCCACCCCCTCTACAAAGACCACCATCACAGGGACGGCCAGGGTCAGAGAAACATAACGTTTTACCACCAATACATCCAGTTAAAGCAGGATATTGATTTGGGATTTATTTCTATTATTCTGTATTATATGTAAAAATGATGAAGAAGAGAATGTTTAAAACCGGGTTAATTTTAAGTTCATTCTTATTATGTATTGTAAAGCATTGTTAACTATAAGCATTACTGATTTTCATACATCTAGAACTTTTGATAATCATGCCGTGCTATTTAATGTTAAAGAAATGTGTTGAGAAATCGTAAAGCAGTATATACATTTAACTGAACTGTTGGGACTGATATTAACTAGGAGATTTATGATTACTGCTAAACTGTCTGTGATATTTTATTGAAAATTAAAATGTTTATTGTCTTTTTGTATAAAAATGAGAAATATTACTATAAACATTTAATATATTTTTGTTGTTTACTCTAAGAAAGTGTACTTTTTTTATACAAACCATGTGAATTAAAACTGAGACAAGATGTTTAACATAATAAATACCTCCCCTGGGCAAAACTGCCTTGAGAGATCATGTGTCAACACATTCTGTATGTAACAGTCCATTTAATTTATTAGTTCACAAATTTTCCTTGGACTTTGGCAAATGTTCAGGATTTTACAAGAGTTTTTAAAAACTTTAGAGTTGGCACACCCCACAGTACACTGACAAAATAGAGAAACTAAAACTTTACATGCATTTAATTTTAGATGCATTGTAGTAATGTTAAAATAACAATAGCCGAGACATAATGAAAATGCCATATGGCATTGTCCGCCACACTTACTATGCTAGCAAAAAAGACTTATTCTGCCTACAATAACCTAGCTATTGTATGCAGAATTTTTAAAAACACCAAAAACAAGAATGTGTCCATAGTACACAGATGCCCCACTCGCACTATCATTTTCTATGTTCAGTGGAGCATTAAATTGAGGTCAAAACTCTAATTTTGCATTAAAATTAGAAAGATCATATCTTAGGGAACATGTGTACTAAGTTTCAAGTTGATTGGACTTCAACTTCATCAAAAACTACCTTGACCAAAAACTTTAACCTGAAGCAGGACAGACGGAAGAACGGACGGCCGGACAGACGAACTCACGCACAGACTGAAAAACATAATGCCCCTCTACTATCGTAGGTGGGGCATAAAAATGAATCCACAGTATTACTTAACATATTTACACGCACTACCTTATTTAACAAATTGCTACAATGCAATGCCTCATTAGCATTGAAGTTTTCTTTCTGCATATGGAGCATAAATCTGCAAGTTGATATAATATTCCTGGGCTTGCTTTCCTCATCATGATTTCCTTGATAGAAGGTTGCTGCTTACAAGGAAGCTATTGAACCAAGGGTTCCAAGCAACAGCACAACTGGTGCAAGTGGAGTAGGAACTGCTTACCCATCTGGAGCAACTTAGTTCACCACAGGTTTTTGGTGGGGTTCATGTAGCTCAATGTAGACTTTTGTCGCAGAAAGCTCGACAGGGATAGTGATCCGGTGGCGGCGGCGGTGTTAACTAACTTCTTAAAAGCTTAATATTTCAGAAGGTAGAAGACCTGGATGCTTCATACTTTGTATATAGATGCCTTATAATATGAAGTTTCCGTCTGTCATATGTCCATAGTCCTTGACCTCATTTTCATGGTTCAGTGACTACTTGAAAAAAAAGTTAAGATTTTTTGTAATGTTAATTTCTCTCTTATTATGAGTAATAGGATAACTATATTTGGTATGTGCGTACCTTGCAAGGTCCTCATGACAGTTTTCACTTGACCTCGACCTCATTTCATGGATCAGTGAACAAGGCAATAGGTCTACTATATTTGGTGTATGTAATGATTGTAAGGTGTACATGTCAAACTGGCAGGTGTCATCTGACCTTGACCTCATTTTCATGGTTCAGTGGTCATAGTTTAGTTTTTTGTGTTTTGGTCTGTTTTTCTAATACTGTATGCAATACCGGTAGGTCAACTGTATTTTATGTATGGAAAAATTTTACAATGTTCATGTCAGTCTGGCAGGTTTTATTTGACCTTGACCTCATTTTCACGGTTCATTGCTCAATGTTAAGTTTTTGTGATTTGGTCTGTTTTTCTAATACTGTATGCAGTAGGTCAACTATATTTGGTGTATGGAAATATTTTACGATGTACATGTCAGTCTGGCAGGTTTTATTTGACATTGACCTCATTTTCACAGTTCATTGCTCAATGTTTATTTTTCGTGTTTTGGTCTGTTTTTCTAATACTGTATGCAGTAGGTCAACTATATTTGGTGTATGGAAATATTTAATGATGTACATGTCAGTCTGGCCGGTTTTATTTGACCTTGACCTCATTTTCATGGTTCATTGCTTATGTTAAGTTTTTGTGTTTTGGTCTGTTTTTCTTTAAGCAATAGGTCAACTATATTTGGTGTATGTAATGATTGTAAGGTGTATATGTATGTCTGGCAGGTATCATCTGACCTTCACCTCATTTTCATGGTTGATTGGTCAATGTTCAGTTTTCCTGGTTAATTTTTTTTTTAGATACCTTAAGCAATAGGTCAACTATATTTGATGCATGGAATGATTTTAAGGTGTACATGTCTGTCTGGCAGGGTTCAAATGACCTTGACTTCATTTTCATGGTTCATTGGTCCGTATAGAATTTCCATGGTTTGGTCTGTTTCTTTTATACTATAAGCAATAGGTCATCTATATTCTGTGTATGGAGGGATTGTATTGAAGGTGTACATGTATTTCCGGCTTGGTTTATCTGACCTTGACCTCATTTTCTTGGATCATAAATGTTAATGTGATACTTGTAGTAAAACTTTATATGTAGGACTATCAACATAAAATCAATGGTCAGTATAGTAGGTGAGACATTTCAGCATGTGCACTCTTGTCTGTGTAGTGCTTTGCAGACCGTTGTCTTTTTATCGTTTTTGTCTAGACTGCGACTTTTGCAGAAGACGAGACATAGGGATGCTTTACTGGCTCCAGCTCTGGCGTCAACAATTGTTAAGTTTTCTGCTTAAGTTAGTTTGATTGGAACTACTTGTGATAGATCATTTATATTTAATATAAAGTTGCATTACTATCAGTACATATCAGTTTGACAACTATTTTGAGGCCCTGCCACCTAGGACATGGTCCAGTGACTGAATTAATTAGCAATTTTCAATGTTAAGTTTTCTGCTTAAGTTTGTTTGATAGGATCTACTTGAATTAGATCAATGATATTTTGTATGAAGTTGCATTACTATCAGTACATATCAGTTTGACGACTATATTGAGGCCCTGCCCCTAGGACATGGTCCAGTGACTTTTGAATTAATTAGCACTTTTCAATGTTAAGTTTTTCTTCTTAAGTTATATTGATAGGATCTACTTGTGATAGATCAATGATATTTTGTATGAAGTCACATTACTATCAGTAATAAGAACTACTTACAATAAACAACGATATTTTCTATAAAGTTACATCACTGTCTGTACATCTCAGTTTGTCGACCATTTTCAGGCCCTGCCCACTAGATCATGGTCCAGTGACTGAATTAATAAGAAATGATGCTGTCCATCAGATTGGTCTTTTTCTGAATTTTATGCCGATAGGCGAGACAGATCTCTGTGTTAACAGTTCATTCTTTATATCCATGGTATGTAATTGCCTTTGTATCTTTTTAATTCTTTCAGGAATGGTATTATTAAATAAATTGCTTCGCCAAGCGCAGCTGGATACGACCGCAGAGGTCCAATTTGGATTGTAATTCAATATTTGACACATAAAAGGTTTCTGACACAGAATAATTGAGTCGAAGAACTTAGAATTGGTTATATGATTTGAATTTATATTCATTTTTTTGCTTTTGTGCAATACACTATGCTGTTGCGAATTGACCCCCCCACCCCCCCAAAAAAAAAAATTTACACCCACTTTTTTTTGCTTTTGTGCAATACACTATGCTGTTGGTCTTTTTACCTCCCCCTTTAAAAAAAAAAGAAAATATTTGAAGAAATTTTCTTTTTGATTTCTGAAATCTTGAGGAGAAAAAATTGTATAATGGAGTTTGCAACCATAATAACCCATTTAAATACATCATAAAAGTCTTAAAATAGAAAATGACATACATAATCATGGCTAAAATTGATATACCTTAATCAGCATTTTTAAAATTATTAAAATAGTAACTTCTAAAAATAAATTAACAGCTAATCACCTCAAGACAATACAACATTTCTTTATACATAATTTGAAAGCAGTGTAAGGGAGGTAATTCTAACACAACATTGTACTTAAGTAATTGTCCATTTATCAGGACAACCTTATTTTTTCTCTTTTTTTTGCCCCTAATTCCTAAACAGTTTGAGCCATAACACCCTAAAGCCAATCCTTACCATCCCTTTGTGGTATGGAAACTTGTGGTATAATTTCAGAGAGATCCATACACCATTCCACAAGTTATTGTCTGGAAACTAGAAAAATGCTTATTTGGGTCCCTTTTTGGCCTCTAATTCCTAAATTGTTGGGACCATAACCCCCAAAATCAATTCCAACCTTCCTTTTGTGGTTATAAACCTTGTGTTTAAATTTCATAGATTTCTATTTACTAATACTAAAGTTATTGTCTGGAAACCAAATGTCTTCGGACGACGCGGACAACGACGACGACGTGATACCAATATATGACCACAAAATTTTTTGCCGTCGTATAAAAATTAAAATCTTTAATTGTCAATCAATTGACTGCAGAAGACAGGAAATATTTTCAGTGTCAGTGCAGTTTTCTATTTGTATAAATTAAGTTATTATTTCGCAAGTGATGTACTTTCACCAATATTAAATATTATAACAGGGTAAATGTGTATTGTTGGTTTTAGTAAATTAGATGCCTCAGAGTAATATGGACATGAATGTTTCATATGGAACAATATAGTCCTTCACTTCACAGATATATTAACCATGTCTATTTGAAGGTAAAAATCACGAACACCACTTTTTTTTTCATTTTGCTTTCAAATCAATGCAAAACTTGACAATAAATTCTTGCCACCATGCCTAGCAGTGCAAATCATATTTTGGGCTAATCAGGTATTATCTACTAGAGTTCAGACCTTTGTATCACAAGAGTGCAAAGGCTGAAATGTCTTGCCATCTGTACCAATCATGATTGAATTGTACCTTGAAAGTCCTTATCAATAAGATAAATTTTCTGTTATTCACAGATATCACATAAAAATTACATTTTCAATTATCCATGAAATTGAGATCCAAGATCAGATGAACCCTTGAAGATGGACATGTACAACTTGCAGTGAAATGAATGATTCCACATTGCTTATATAATCTGAGAAAAAGACCCAAACACAAAAAAATAAACGTCAATCACTGATCCATGAAATGAGGTCATGGTCAGGTTAAATCTGTGTGATGCAACATGCAGACCTTGCAATGATTCTATAAACCAAATACATCAAATCATATTATAAAAAATCTGTCTGCAGTTGCTGAACCATGAAAACGAGGTCAAGGACAATGGATATATGCCAGACATAAACATAGGGCATCTGTATACAAGATATGAAGTACATATTTGTTGTTGCCTCTGCTGGATTAGAATTGCTTCGTCTTGAAATTTTCTATTGTCGCAGGCAAAACAATCATATACTGTTGACACCAAGATATGCCTCCTCTGTTTGTAATTTTGATAGTTAAATGCAAATGTTGAGATTAAAATGGCATTACTTTAACATGTAATCTATGCGAAACATTCAAAGTCGATGACGAGTGCAGGAGGTCGTGGGTTCGAACCCCGGACGGGTCAAACCAAAGACTTTAAAATTGGTATTTGCTGCTTCTCTGATAAGCTCATGACATTAAGGAGTAAGTGCAAAGATTGGTCGGCTCGCAGTCAGAATAATGTGTCCAGATAAGGTTACATGTCTTCCTGCAGACTGTTACCTTGTGAACTAGCACGTTCAAAATCTGACTCAGCGTGTCTGTCTAGTGCAATTTGCAAAGCAGGGTTAATATTCATATTACATAAACATGTTCATGTCCTGAATATTCATATTAATTTGCCGCTGGACATTAAGCAGCCATCCATCATCATCATCATCAAAGTCAAAGTCAATGAAGCATGACTGAAGGTACATGGTCAAATTATCTCCCTGTAAATGAGATGTGCAAATTCTAATGCAACTGCATACCAAATATCTGACTCTTACCATTAGAGGATCATCTTAAAATGACAATCACAAACTTCAAAATGAAAATTGTGCAAAAGTTTCAAAGTAAATAGACCATGACTGAGGAGACAGAGCCAAATAATCTCCATGGATATGAGATGTGTTTATGCTGATACAACTGCATACCAAGTGGTATTGACTTATCATATGTGGTTTCCATTAAACTGACTTAATCACAAAATTTAACATGTAAGCTATGCAAAAATTTGAGTCAACATACTATGAATGAGGGGGTGGGGCCATATAATCTCTATTGAAATTCAAATGTTACTTCAACTGCATACCTAATATCATTGACTTACTATTAGTGGTTCATCTATAACTTACCTAATCACGACTTTCAGGTGTTTGACATGTAAACTATGCAAACTTATACAGTCAATAGACTATGACTGAGGTGGTGTAGACAAATACTACTTTGCATCTTTAATAAAATACAAGACAGAACATACATATCACTCCTTTTTACTTTCTCTCTCAATAAATGTATGATTCAAGGAGCAGTACCAACATTTTACTTGTTTTAATTACTCTTCATATGTCCTCTGTACAAAGTAAAATAATCAGTTATACCTTCTTTCATCTAATAACAGCTGAACAATACAAATCTATTACCGGTATGTATTATAGTACAATTAGTTATTGAACAAATAAGTTGTAAATGTCGTAATCATTATGGTAAGGTATACCAAATATGATAAAAGACTGAATTGTGTTGGAAAAATTTGTAGCCTTCAAAAACAAAGAACTTTCAATTTAACCGAAGGCCATAATAAACAACTGAAACAATCTCCTCACTTTGTTTTATGCGCAATGATGATTAACAACACTGATTTTTATCATGCTGACAAAGTTTCGACCTCAAACTTGATCCTCTGAGGTTGAAAATTAATGGTGAAATGGTTACCCTTTGACAAATTGACATACATACATTTTTAAGATACATAATGATAATCTGTAATCATTTATAAATTCAACAAACTTTAATAAATTTAATAATTTTATTCTTCCTTTTTCCTTTTTCTCGCATCTCTTGTGGGTTTTCCTTTGCCACGTAATTTTCTTAATCTTTCCATTTCTTCTGTAAAGTCTAAATGTTCACTCCTTAAATGAAAAACAAAGACACTTTTTAACCTTATACCAAAATAATATTCTTATATTTTATTTAAAAAAAGAAGATGTAGGCATCTGTAAAAATTACCAATTACCTATAACTTAGCATTTTTTCAATGAAAAAGTTAAATGATTTATCATGTCATAACTTTTACTTTTTACATGTTAGTGTTGGAGCTGAATTTGCCCTCTTATACAATTACATGAGTCATATAGTTGTGATACCCTATAATGACTTTGACTTACACAGTCAAAGTCAAACAAAAGTGATAAATGACCCTTTGTCACAATGATTTTTGCTGAAGCTGGGATATTTTTTACAGAGGAACAACTATTATATTCAGATATTGTTTTCCAAATAACTAAATATGTAAATGCTTACTCTGAATAATTTTCACATTAACTAGACTATAAAACTATGGCTTATGACAATATGAAGTTAAATTTTAATACAGTGAATTTTTGTGTGTGTGTGGTTTATTTTATTTTTGATGATTATTTAGACTTACTTCCCTTTATACATGTTATAACATAAAAAGATGGAAACATAACAAACTTTTATAAAAATGTTATTTGTTATTGCCATGGAAATTAAAGAAACATACATGAAATGCTATTCAATTGTATAACAGTAGCCTCCTAAATGGTGAAATATTTGATATTTGTGGGTCAAGTCAAATACTGATGATCAATAGTTTTCCATATCTTTTAACTACGTACAATATAGTTATTTCAAAAGGCTTAAAAGTGTGTCATGTTCACTAATAAATGCATCACTTATTCTTTTTTTTAAACAAATACATTGAGATGGATCACTTCTTAAAAGTGGTGATATAATTACCTGAATAAACCAAAATGCCTGAGAGTTTTCATGAGCCTAGTCACTTCAAAATGTTTTGGGTAATAATTCACAACCTCTGGTTGTTCATGATAGTATGGCTTGCTCATTAAATCTACAACTTTTCTTGATAATTTGGTATCTGTTGGGCTAACTTCTCCAAAGATCTTTGCAGAAAGCCTTGCCATTCGAGCTGCATATCTTGACCCTGACATTTTCTGCAAATATAAATACAAATTCATTTCTGGACATAAAAACAAATTATAAATGCTTAAAGATGGCAGTTTTTGAAGATTTCAGTAAAGTTTTGAGTTAAAAAAAAAATAATATTCTGAACCAAACCATATAAATGCCAAATTTTGTGTCTGTAATGCTTGTTGTTATCATTGAATTCATGTTATTTATGTGTTTTTATATTCAGTCAAAAGCCTATCTCAAGCTCTTGTTGTATAGTTTTATAAATGCCAAATCAAATTAAAATGTTCTTATCTTATCTTAAACCAAACTTCTTTCTGAAGTAAAAGTTTTTTTTTTGGAAATCCATGGAAATTGGCCGCCCTAACTCTTTAATTATAAAAGAATTCCACTTCAGAAAAAAAGCATTGATTCTTCTGCACTTGCTTAGCTATGTTTTGTTTATCCTTGTGGAAATGCATTATGGCCAACCCCCTTTATAACTGATCTTAAACAAATATGTCAACTTACACTAAGTACTTTTCATCAACCCCAATATTCTTTTAAAATGAACTTAAATTGAGCAATCCCCCTTTTAAAGAAAAAATCTAACCAGAAGTGGAAAACTAATTTGAGAAATGTCTTGAAAGCATACTTATGTCATGTATGTCAGTTTATTCCTTTTGTAGCAATTTTCTGATTTGGCTGCCCACTGAGTGGTTTTCCAAATCAGAAATTAACTCTGGACACAGAATCTCAAAAGAGATTAATATCAGTTATTAAAGCACTGCTGAGCTTATGTTGTACTGTTTTGTATATATATGTAAATAAAGCTTTTGATTTAATTCTATTTGCGATAAGATTGTACCAAATTTCACAAATATCTAGGTGTAACATTTACTCTATCTGGTTCCTTAATTATCAAAATAAGGAGATGTAGTCACAGGCGCTTTTTTCTATCCATAGACCTTATCGCTATTTGGGAATTTGCGACATTTGAATTTTTGATGTCATACAACAATCACTTTTCCTTTGAGGCGTCAGACATTTTCTCTTGTTAATTCAAAATTTTTTGAAGTAGCATGTTGCTGATGATAGAAACGTATGCAAATCGGAAATCCCTAAATGTCACGAACTTGCAATCATCGATGATATTGCCATTATTGGGAGGTGGACTAATATGGATAAAAACAAGTGCCTGTGGATGTGGTTATAGTTCAGATAATCATGCCGTCTGTTGAGGGTGTTAAAGGATTTTGTTTATTTTAATCCCTCATTGCAGGAAGGCATCAAAGCATAAAATAAAAATAGCCTTCCAAGACGTCAAAATCATTTGGACTAGATCTAGATGTGGTTAGCTAGTGGCCCAAGACCACAATTAATGATCCCGCTTTTCGTTGTCCACGAATATAGTTCCTTTTAATTAGAGTGTATTTTTTCTTAATTTTTTTTCTTTCCCTTCCTCACTCATTTCTTAGTTTTTTAGGGGTGGAAATAAAAGAAGAGAGGTGAAATAAACTTTTGGATGTTGTATTTTAACTGATTTTGATATGGAAAGAGTGATTAGGCCAGGTGCAAAAAGGTGATATTTACAGTTTTCGGAACATCTCTTGACTTGTCCATAGGGGTATGGATGTGTATTGGCTAAATTTGTAAGAGTCATTGGTTCAATCTTTCTGAATTTTGGATATATTTTTGGACTAGTACTATACATTACACACACAAAAGATTTGACAAAAATGCACGGTGCAATTTTTTTAATGAAACAAAACGTTATAAAGAACTAATAGGGGAATTTAATTGTGGTCTGTGGCCTAAGAGGTGAATTCAGGAAATATTGAATTTGTACTTTGACAACTTCCCTGAATGATCTATTGGTACTAATTTGTCAAACTACATGAGAATAAATGATTTCCACTTTTATTTGATAGAAATTTTGTAAAAAAGTGACATTTCAGCCTACATGCCCAAAATTGAACTTTTTCAGTTGTTTCAATATTTTTACAAAAGTAGCATGCTTACTTTCTCTCTGACAGATTTTTCTGGTTTTCTATTTGTGTATGTGGTATCTAATGTAGATGTTTAACTCATTTTTGAACACTGAACACAAAAAAAAAGTAGATAAAATCAGAATAAGAGTGCAAAATGTGCTGCTTTAATGGTCTTAGTCTAACGGTCAGTATGAAGCAAGTGAAAAATGAGGTTCTATGCACATACAAGTTGAATTCCTTTTAGCAGATTTCACTGAATCTGTATCAAAAGCACTTATTACTGGTTGTTTGACCTTGTCTGTTTCACAGACTACCTTAATTTTCTTTTGTTTGATAGCTAGTGGTTAAAATATTGGCCATTTGAGGCTGAAATTTCATGCCGGTTTTAAAAAGTAAAGTAAATAACTTTGCATCAAATCATACTGTCTACATATATAGTTGAAAGTGACAGTCTTGTTACATCCAGGCTCCATGTTTTATCATATCTAAACAAAGATTTGAGCAAAAAGAAGCATATCTCTATCTCCCATATCATTTATAAGCTTTTTAATATGCAAATGTGGGGAACGACCTAAATTGACAACCTGTTTTTTTAAGCTTGACATTGCTGAAGACCATTTTATTCACATGTGTTATGCTATTTGAAACTTATATTTCCATTAAAAGTACATTTATAACATGTAAAAGGTTTTTTTATAACTTAACAACTTCAGAAAATTGTGGTAAGTGAAAAATATTACATTTCATATAAGGCCTGACTTCATTTGAAAACCTCTATTTTTTGGCACAGGCTCATATAAAATTTACTTCTGGCCATTTTTTATAAGTCTGAAACATGAAGTATGCTATCTGCTGCTTTTAATAGGTGATAACTTATACATAGAGACATTAAAAAGTGTAAGTTTTGGTATATTTTGGTTTTTAGAAGCCCAAATTTGATAGTTGAAATTGTTCTAATTCAACGCCACAATTCAGCACCCAAAGTTCAAATATAAAAAATACCACATTTTTTATAATTGGTATCATATGGCTTTGAAACTTTGTAAACTGTTTTATAATACACTAAGCTTAAATCTTGCCAAGTTTTATTAGAATTGGTCAAGTTTTAGACCCCTAATAGGCCCAAGACCACAATTAATGATCCCGCTTTTCGTTGTCCACGAATATAGTTCCTTTTAATTAGAGTGTATTTTTTCTTAATTTTTTTTCTTTCCCTTCCTCACTCATTTCTTAGTTTTTTTTGGGTGGAAATTAAAGAAGAGAGGTGAAATAAACTTTTGGATGTTGTATTTTAACTGATTTTGATATGGAAAGAGTGATTAGGCCAGGTGCAAAAAGGTGATATTTACAGTTTTCGGAACATCTCTTGACTTGTCCATAGGGGTATGGATGTGTATTGGCTAAATTTGTAAGAGTCATTGGTTCAATCTTCCTGAATTTTGGATATATTTTTGGACTAGTACTATACATTACACACACAAAAGATTTGACAAAAATGCACGGTGCAATTTTTTTAATGAAACAAAACGTTATAAAGAACTAATAGGGGAATTTAATTGTGGTCTGTGGCCTAGTGCATGAAAGCTTTGGGAGCAAAACAATCCCTGTAATTCTTTCACATTGGGTACTGAATATCCCTGTCAATTCAAAATGTAATACCCTTCTATTGTACCTTTAATATACTGTGTTTTCAAGAGAACTATAATCACATTTTGATCTTGAATTTTTAACCTGTCCTTAGAAAAAAATGGTTTTAGTTGTCTCCCTTGACAAAACTTGACATATTAAGGAAAAGGCACTTAGGTGTCATAAAAAGTACAGCTATATGCAGTTATTTTATTACAGATTACATTTTTTATTTTGATGAATAAATTATGACACTGATAGCACTACAAATTATCTGTAACTTGTGGAAATATTTAGAAATATAATGAAAAAAATATCACAGCGGTCGGGATTGTAAGAGTTTATTTAGCACCTTTTAAAGATGGAGCGGAAGATACGAAAATAAGATTTAGAAATCCAGTTGTAGTTAAAATGAAGTAATTATTTACATAGGCGACAAATTATGGTAGCCTTTTGCGTTTTCGCTATAAAAGATCCATTGATTAAACTGTCAAATTCTGAATAATCATCACCTTTTGGTGTGAATAAAACTGCAAAACACGTACAGGTTGGGAACAAACCCTCTACATGGTGTTTTTACCGGTATCGGGTCCGTTCGCGCCAAATACACGTTCGCACCCTACACGTTCGCACCCCACACGTTCGCCTCCTAGGTCCGTTCGCACCCTACACGTTCGCACCCCACACGTTCGCCTCCTAGGTCCGTTCGCACCCTACACGTTCGCACCCCACACGTTCGCCTCCTAGGTCCGTTCGCACCCTACACGTTCGCACCTTTTTTTTTTATTTAAAAACCTGATAAATTTTTAGATGTTTTGTAGATGTTTATATCAAAATATTTTTATTTTCATAAATAAAAATTCAGGAATTTTTAAATAAAATATGGTTTTAAATTGATTTGATGATTAATTATTAAATGTTAATTATGTATGATTACTGCTAATTGGTATTTATACACAGCCTAATTTGGTGTTATTGTTGAGTGTTTAAAAATCATGATTGTTGTTTTAACTTACTTTGATGTAAATACTGCATGTAAGATGTATTCAACACGCACACAAAAAACAGTTTATTCGCGATTGTCCCACTTTTTAAAATTTTAGAGTTCTGATTGTCCCACATGAAAAGTTCTGATTGTCCCACATTATTTTATGAAGTAAAATGTTCTTAGATAAACAATGTAACTGTTGTTTGTTTTGCTAAATAAACAAGGATTAATTTATTGCACATTTAAAATATCAAAATAATTTTATTGGTGTAAATTCCAATACAGGAATGATACCAGCTGACATTTACAAAATACAAATACAAAAACAGACTTAAATAAACAAAAAACAAATATACAGAGATATGTTTTCTCAATGATAAGAGACACATATTTTATATCTACATTGCGTGGAGGTGTTATTCATACTATATTATCACTT